TAGCAATGGCCTCCACCCTAGTTAGCGATGGCCTCCACCCTAATAGCGATGACCTCCACCCTAATAGCAATGGCCTCCACCCTAGTAGCGATGGCCTCCACCCTATCGCTAGCAGGATGGAGGCAATGGCTAGTGGGCCATCGCTATTAGGTTGGAGCACAAGCTCCATGCACTAATCGTAAACAAGCCGGATCCCTGGGTAGGTCGCAAGACTGCTGGCTTCTACTTTGTGTTTATTCTGGGCCTAGTTGCTTGGCTTGGTTCGGCTCAAAGTCACCAACACATCCATCCTCTTCTATATCGAGAGCTATTCGCAAGCACGGACATAAATTGGTTTCAACTATGCAGCTATGCAGTATAAGTTTTGGAGGCTCAGCTTGTGTGTGGCCTGATCATTCTGGATTCCGCATGGCACGCCTATACCAACTTTGTTCTTACCCTTTGTTCTTTATTGGATGAACATGTGCATCAGGACTGGCGTGTTGGCGCCTTTCACTTTGAGGATGTCCTTATGGACTCTCAGATTCACATGAGTCTTTCTGTTGCCATAAAGGCTGATTGGCAACGATTCCTTTGCATTTCGATTTGCTCCGTTCGTAGCTTCTTGCTCCTAGTAGTACGGCCAGGAGCCCCTATCCTTGCTCCTAGTAGCGATGCCAGGAGCCCCTAGTAGCGTCTTGTTCCCTGGTTGCAGATCGAATCCAAGGATTATGATGTGGCCATGAACTATGGAAACTGGGTGGTTGTGGCAGAGGCGAACCACGCCATCGTGGGAATCGACTTTGTCTCACACCTGGAGGATGGATTTGAACGTGAGAAGTAGGTGAGGACGCTACTAGTAGCGATGCCCGGGTTCCTAGTAGCTTCTTGCTCCTGGTAGTAAGTAAGGCCAGGAGCCCCTAGTAGCAAAAGGAACCTAATAGCGATGGCCTCCAACCTAGGTGAACCATCCATGCAAACGTTGTGAGGGGTGCGGAACCGTCATTGCGTGTTCTGTGTGCAGAACATACTTTTGAATGCATTCACACGACAAGCTGAATCAAGCGTTGTTGGTTCATGGAGCCAATATAGAGGACTATCAGAAACCTCCAGCTGTTGCAGGACACTTCTTTTGCTTGAACAGAGGTGCAAAATCTGACAGTCTAAACATGCCTGAACAACTGGTGTGGTGAATTCTGAACAGGAATGCGGAACACCAAATGAGCACACAGGTTCGATGAAGCTTTTGAGAGGATTTAGCAAGTGAGCATCTCCGCTACCACTCTCAGGTGGACAAGAGCAGCCGCGGGGCACATGGCTTTAAATCTGTACAGGATCTTGCTGCATGGAAGAAGGCAGGATTTGAGGGTTCAAGTACCTGTCAGTCGCATCAAATGACTATGAATCCCGCCAAACTAGGTGGCTTCACATCAGATCAGAAGCTGCCAAGCGAGGTGCTGTTCACAGGGTGTTGCCCTTCTTTTCTTGCTGTCGGCTATTCAATACCCAGGGGCCATTCTCTGCAACTTTGCACCCGGAAGTTGCAGAGCCTTGCGCTTGATTCAATCCTTTTACGGCCACCACCGCAGGGTAGATTCTGCGAGTGACTAGATTCCACCGCGCTTGAAGTTACAGCTGTGACAGGGACTTGCGGCCAAGACGTGTCTTGTGGGATTCGGGACCCATAGTCATACAGGTAGAGAGTTCACGCGAATTCACTGAAACAAGTGTGCACACCCTGGCACAGGAAGAGTTTGAGTGGAAGCTAAGCGCAGAGAAGATCTTTAGCGGCACATCTTGGGTGGGATAGGCTGGAGGCCATTGCTCTTGGGTTGGAGGCCATCGCTATTAGTAACTGCATCGCTACTAATAGCAAGGACGCTACTAGATTGGAGGCCATGGCTACTAGGTTGGAGGCCATGAGTTTGGGATTCCTCGGGCTGCATTATCTGCATATTGAGGGAACAATTTCTCGTTTCGATCCCATCGCGCTGTAGAGCATCCCTACTACTTTAGTGGGAAGTGGAAAGAAAGGACGACCCCGATCCTCTCCAGGAAGAACGACCCGAGCGGGGAGTATCTGCGAAAATGGCTCCCGGAGCTCGGGAAGTTGGACGCGAAGCACATCCACGAGCCCTGGGCCATGTCGGAAGAGTCTCGGAAAACTGGAGCGATCGGACGCTACGAACGGGGCTCCTGGCATCGCTACTAGGAGCAAGGACGCTACTAGGGGCTCCTGGCCTTACTACTAGGAGCAAGAAGCTATTAGGAACAAGTGCATCGCTTCTAGTAACAAGTGCCTTACTAGTAGTAACAAGGACGCTACTAGGGGCTCCTGGCATCGCTACTAGGAACAAGGACGCTACGAACGGGGCTCCTGGCCTTACTACTAGGAACAAGGACGCTACTAGGGGCTCCTGGCATCGCTACTAGGAACAAGGACGCTACGAACGGGGCTCCTGGCATCGCTACTAGGAGCAATGTTCTACTAGGAACAAAGGGCATCGCTACTAGGAGCAAGGACGCTACTAGGGGCTCTTGGCCGTACTACTAGGAACAAGAAGCTATTAGGAACAAGTGCATCGCTTCTAGTAACAAGTGCCTTACTAGTAGTAACAAGGACGCTACTAGGGGCTCCCGCATCGGGATCTGCATGGCCCGGATGGAGGGATCGGGAGTGCTTGGGAAGGATCTTGGCATTGCCTGGTGGAAGCGACGAATCAGAGCGATACACCAGAGTCTTGTAAAGTCTTGGAACCGGATTCTTGGATACAGAATGTAGGTTGGAGGCCATCGCTAGTAGGTTGGAGGCCATTTGCTTTGACATCCTTTGCCTCTCATTTGAGGAGATGATGAACCGCTGCCACCTGGCTGAGGGGGAGGAAGGGCGAGACCTGACATACAAACAAGACCGCAAATGCGTGCAATGGCAAGAGCATCATTCGTTGGAATTTCCGTTACAAACGGCTGCTCATCAGAGGCTTGGATATGAAAGGCAGAGAAAACACTATGACGTGCTCGAGTATCATGTCACGTGTGATATTTAGCACTCGAGGTTTTCCCTAAAATATATTGGAACCACGTGAATAGTGCGAGCTTCCTTGAAGTAGTCAGTAGACGGCTGAGCTTTGCGCTGTGAGGTGGCTGTGTCCTGGGCCAGGACTACCCCAAGCCATTGGGTGGGCCTTTCAGGATGAGGGAAGAGGCAAGTGAGCGGAGCGAGCGGAGCGCAATGGCCTCCACCCTAGTAGCTTCTTGCTACTAGTAGCGATGTCCTCCAACCTAGTAGTAATGGCTTCCAACCTACTCTCCAGGTATTTAGAGGATAAGACCTCAGTGATGAGCGGAAGAAGCGCGTCCACCTCAAACGATCCAAGGATTTGTGCCGAAGATCTCGGGATCCTCAACAAGCTAATCAAGGGCATCGCTACTAGGGGAAACGACAGACCCAAAAACACAGGATATACAAGAGCCCACCTATGGTCACGTCAGGCGACAGGAAAGTTGACTGCGCTCATTTTGATCATTCATAGGGCAAAGAGCAAGGACGCTATTAGTAGCTCCTGGCCTTACTACTAGGAACAAGAAGCTACTAGTAAAAGGGCATCGCTACTAGTAACAAAGGTATTACTACTAGTAGCAAGGGTCCCTCATGGTCCCTCATGTCCATTGAAGGGTCAGCCTGTCAGGAGGAAGAAGAAGAAGAGCGTCGATTCCATCCCAATGACAACAGTGGGAATCGGTACACGTCTTTTGCTTGCAGTTGCGTTAAACATCGATTAGGATGGAGGCCATTGCTAGTAGGTTGGAAGTTGGAAGCCATCGCTTGTACTTGGTACTTTTGGCGTCTCTCCACTCGCCACTTACAAGGCTCCGGACAAACTGCGATGTAGCAATGTAGGAGTTGTACCACCACAAGAGTTTGGACTCCGATTGGTTGAAGTGCGTTTCTGAGGTACAAAGAATTCATTGACTTCGCCATGAGCAAGGGCTATGATGCAAATTTTGGGAAGAAGTGTTGGGCGCCTCGCTGGCAGGTGGCTGAAGGTGTGTATTCACTATCTAACACATCCCCAGTACCCCTTGCTTTTGGCAAGGGGTCTGCAATTGCTAGTAGGTTGGAGGCCATCGCTCGGTTGGAGGCCACTGCAAGCAGGTTAAGGTTTCGGCACCGACTCAAGGAGGAGGCTCGGCCGGTGGCCGCTTTGCAAGAGGAGAATGAACAGCTTCGGCAACAGCTGCAGGCACCAGGGACACCAGGGGAAAGGACAGGGAAAGGATCCTTAGAGCATCTGATGGATTTTTTTGCTTCTCGTTATGGATCACTCTAGAGGTGAACACAGTTCTCAGAAGTTATTGGTCATTTGTCCTAGGTGAACGTTGTCACAGGACGGTTGCTGAACAGCATATCGGTTGGATCATTGAATCATTTGCCCTGGGCCAGCTCAATGGCATGAGAATGAGAAGGCATGCTGCTACGCATTGCTACGCATTTCACTTTTACTGTATATTTAAAAATCTCATGTTTTGTTTGTCCTGCCCCTTCTGTATTTTTGACTCAAGAGAGGTTGAAGGCCATCACTATTAAACAAGGAAAGAAAGACACAGGAAGACAGGAACCGATTGGTCCTTGTTACTACTAGTAACAAGTGCATCGCTACTAGTAACAAGTGCCTTACTAGTAGTAACAATGTGTGCTATTAGAATTAAATTGGAACCGATTGGAACCGGTTCCGAGAACCGAACTGCCGAGGCTGCAGAGCATCAGCTTCGATCCTTGCAGGGAGCCGCCTAGGATGCCCGGAGTGCCTCAGGACCGTCCGTTGATGCAGAAAACTGGGGAGCATCAGCTTCGTTCTTGCCCCTAGTAAGGCCAGGAGCCCCTAGTAGCGTCCTTGCTCCTAGTAGCGATGCCCTTTGTTCCTAGTAGCTTCTTGCCCCCAGTAGT